GTTGTGAAAAACTGGGACAAAAAGGATTCAGTAGGGTTCTCAAAAACAAGGGAAAAAGGAGGAAGAAGGAAATAAAGCATGCACAAGTGAACAATCGAAAAAACAGACGAGAATGTGGTTACCAATAAATCCAGTCGGAAACGAAAGCGGTATCGTCGCAGCTATTGAAGTGTTTCAAATGTAGAAATACATATGTGAGCTATTGTTAAAGGACCGCTCAGAGCTGGTTAGTTGCTTTGAAAACCGATTGGGTACTTTTCCCGAAGAATCAAGCCACATTTTGCTTCCAATAGTGGTTTTAGCGATTAGTCGAGGGATTTGAATGTGTTGCATTTCAAATTACGCTGAAGCATTGAACAAACCTTTTCAAACCGTGGATATCCCTCAGTCGCACGTAGTGCTTAACGACATTACTTGTTGGTTGACCAAGCTTGGCGAAACAATCAAATAGGACGATGCACTTGGTCGTTGCCTGCAGTAATCGAGGTGAAATACCATCCTTGCCCCTCAAAAATTGGAAACAAAATTCGCAGCAGAGCGCGATATCCTCACGGCTCCGGCGCACCACTTATAGGTTTGAACTGTTTTATAAAAGGTAATTTTGTCACGGTTTCTGGTTGGGAAAAATGGGTTCAGCGCTGCGATTGTTATTGGCCTCTAGTGCCATGGTGGTAACCTGGGTTTCGAGGGAATTACAGGAGATCATTCAGTGGATTTGGGAAACTAATTGAGCAAACGAGCAAAATACAGATGAGCTTCGTTAATGTCGCAAAGTAAAGTTGACACTATAATTATTCAAGATTGGATAAGATAGCTTAAAAGAGATTGGGGAACGCAGCTGTAGTTGTTGGAGGTAGATTGTAGACTCACATATCCTGAGCCCACTTGACGTCCCTTAGAAATTTTCGATCGCAAATTCATAACTCCTGTTCCCGTAGACCTAGAGCGTGGGAATTTGGTTTTAATACAGGCACCAGGATGAGAACATTCATGGCTGATAGCAGGACTAAACTCCGCCCGCAGGGGGCGGACTTTGCACGGAATAAATGGTTGAGCGGGAACTCATAACTCCTGTCCCTCTAAACCTAAATAGTTCAAATTTCAGACAATTACAGCTTTTCGTATTAACAGTGGAACCTCGAGATTTTTATAAGTGATGTAGGACATGACGGGATCGTGGGTGCATGGTGACAAGAACTGATAATAATTGATAAGAGAAGGAGGGGTAAGGGCGGTGATAGGGACATACTAGCCGCACTAGCCGCAAGGTTCGCTGATTAGCGGTCGTAATCTAATATCAAGAAATGAGCCAAATTCTCATCTGAAGGATCCTCTTTGGTCGATATCATTTGCGACAAAGCTCAACCGACGTTAACCGACCGACCGACTGGAATTCCAACTAATGATATTTTGTAAAGAAAAGGTCCATTGATAACGACATCTAATAATAATCTTATCGTCGCTTGAAACATTTGTGAGTACCGACTTACACTGAATACAGAATGCAGTGCCCTTTTAGTCCTGCGTCAAACTTGTGCCCAGAAAAATACCATTTGTTTCAAAGAAGCAGCAGAGAGTTAGCCGTTTACTACAACTTTGCCGAAGAAGGAGGGAAGGCCGGCGTTGGCCGGGCCAACCGACTGGTACTTGAATTAGACAGTGGGCTGGAATAGGATCGTCGCTTTAGACGAAAGAGTTAAGTGAACTATTTTTTAATAGAATCCTTCTTAGAGGGGAATGTTGATGTTTGCTTGGAATAACTTCAACAACCGAGTTCTGTTACCGAGATGTAGGACACCTGAGAAGGACTTCAGCCACGTCCAGAAATGGCGTTCGTCGAGAGCACGATGGGCTTGTTCATTTGATGAGAAAGCCATTGCTAGGGCATACATACATGAGCACGTTAACTTACCTCGGAACGTACAGTGCCTAATGCCTAATGGTCAGGGCCCTGCTGACGCCGATCTGGTCCTTAACATCGCCCCTATGCTAGCTGACCTGTCGGAAATGCGATTTCTCGGAAAACTAGCTGGACTGGCTGGAGAACTTTTTAAGGTTTTGAGCAGAATCCGTTGCGTGGGACTGTTTTCGCAATTGTGACATCCTCTCAAGTAACAGAGTTAGGAGTTTTCTCATTCCTGCGGAATACATTTCCAGAGGATCATGATATATCGGTAGTTCTCAAGGGAGCATAGAGTGGCACGCACGGAATGAGGTAGAATGGTTTTGTTTAAGCCAGTGTCCACTTCGATAACGGCACTGGGGAAAAGCGCGCACGTCGATAAAGATGGGTAGCCGCCGGTCCCTTGAGACTCTTGACTTTGATTGCAAACATAAGCTCATATTTGCTGTCTCGTTCAGGAGTTCGTACGGTACATCCGGGCAAGTTTACAACATATCCATATGTAGTGATACTAAAGATCATGGGTGACCCTCTATTCGGTTTTGATGGAAAGAGACATGAAGTTCAGCATCAGTCGGGAAACATTGCCTCAGTTTTAATACGCGGTAGGAGTTTTTAAAAGAGAACCTACTACTGGTTCGATCTGTCTATTTTTTGTTTTCAAATAGTTATAATTACAATTACTTGTGTTGAGAGATGGTTTTAGATGAAAGAGTTGTTTTTACCAAGCGAGGGAAGGGTCCCAAGTCGAAAAAGCCGTTTGAAATGAGACTTGTACTCCTACACGTATTTCCGGGCGCTGATTTCAAATCTGCTTTCCAAATTTTCCATACGATTCTCTGAACATAGTTATGAGGGTGGTCTCAGGTGGGTGCTTAAGGCAGTCGAGCATTTAAAGGCACAGTTCACAGTTAAAAATGGTTACTTAGATCTCCATCTCGGAATACCCAGTGGCCCCCAAGAATAATAGGAGGGACCCTCTCGCGTTCAGAAACTCAACGGTGAGGACATAGCGGGAGCCCCGTTACCGACTCGTGCAGCCTTCCCGCCTCTCGACCGATGTCACGTCAGAGGAGTGTCGAGGCGATATAGATTGCAAATATTCGCGCCAGGACCCACACACAAACAGCTGATCGCCAAATAATGAGGCGATGTTTTTCTGGTTATCCTTTATTCTCTATTATTCTTTTTGCTGCGATCCCTAATTTAGTTTCCTATAACAAGAGGCTAAAGAAGGTGGGGTATTTTTGCTGATTTTAGGGTCTTTTTGTTAACATATGCTTATAAGTGAATTAATTTTTGCTTAACGTAGTCAGCTATTCGCAGCAGGACCCACACGTACGCACTGACACATAATGCAGAGCTCGTCCAAGCGCTCCATTCTTTTTCATTTTTCGGGTCACATTCACGTCCAGCCCCCTTTTTACCGGTTTTTCGAAGCCTTTCTTCTTTTTGGAAACACCGATCCACACAGTTTCTTCGCCTTCATCACACTATTTTCCACTTTACCTTCCATTTTTTGTCACAATCCGGATTACCCAAAATTATCGTGAACTGTACCTCTAACACATTGACGACCCGTGGACCGCCGGCGGCCCACACCAAATCGTGCTGCTGGGACCGCGTGGCCGGCGGGCCACGGTAGTATTTACATTACTTATTACCCATTTTTATATTTTTCGACGCTTTCGGTATCAGTTAGGCCCACAGCCTGCCAGAGGCGTTGTGGTCCAAGAATCACTCAATTCCAGCTGTAGTTATAAGAGAAGACAAAAGTTCATGTAAGGAACTTATTAGAAGGAGCAAAATCAAGCGTTACCAATTGGTCAATTATTTATACTGCGTGTAATAGTTTGAAAAAACAGTCGAAGTAAAATCCATGGGGCACCTGATGCATTTTGATGAGACCCATTTGGCATGATTCATAAGCACAATCTTTTTCCTCGGATATTCCATGCAGCAACCAGTGCATCTTCTATCTCCTTTTCGGACCTTCAACCCTAATTATAAATTTTCTTTGGAGAGGGAGGCTTGCCAAAAACACTTTGAACTAAGGTTTCTACAAGGCATAGCTTAACAATGCTATCTGCCTCTAACCAATCCCTCAAGGATTTGAGGACAAAACTCGTCGTGTGTATTGACGAAGCTTTGTGGTATTTTTGTGGGTCTGGACCACACAAGCCGTGAAGAATCAGAGACGATTTGAGCAGTTTCCTATTTTCTAATAGTTAGGCCCTAACAAAGTAACAGTGGATGTTGTTATACGCACCCAACTTCCTACTTACTATAAAGCGCTTCGTCTGTCTGTCTGTCTGTCGTTCTGTCTGTATGTCTGTCACGAAATTCCCTAGCTCTTTTAGATCTGCCTGGAGAGACCGGGTCAAGTGTGGGATGGGTGGGCCAGGTCTCGAGAAGT